AATCAATATACGCAACTAAAATTCCCTTTTAAGAGTGACTTTCTCATAAAATTAACCTGGACAGATGTGCTCTGCACGTTTAATACAGCGCGTAGGGTTTAAAATGAAAGCAATTAATTCATATGGGTTCCTTTAATAATGCAGTGAAAGAAAAATCAGGACATTCCAAATTGTAACATAGAAGTAAAGTATATTGGTCATGAGCTAAAATAGTTCGCAATTTTAGTGCAAACCTTTTGGCCCAATCGTTATTAGTCATCGCTAAATGTGATCAGGATAACAATAAGATTAAATCAAAATTCAAAAGACAATTTTTTTGCAATTAAAAGTAATCAACAACACCTTAACACCCTTAGGATTTATTTCTGCGAATGGGGTGCGTGATAGACTTACCTCCACGTGGTGCACCCTGGGCAACGTATACTCATACGGCAAAAAAGTCTATTAACTGGCGATTGACTTCTGGCGCAGTACTCATCCTACCTTTTCTCTGCCTTCATGTCTGTCTCTCAACATCTGTAAATCACTCTTCTGTTCCCCACCCCTCGACTTTTTGTTACTTTGATGTTCCTTCCCCTGTGAAGCCTGAAGTCAACTAAAGGGCTAATTGTAACCTTTTCTCTGCCTTTGTGTCTGTGTATCTCTTTTACATCTATGAATCACTCTTCTGTTCCGCCTCTCCTCTTTTTCCCACTTCGATGTTCCTCCCCTCTGTGAAGCCCGAAGTCAGCTAAAGGGCTAATGATAACTATCAAAACGCCTGCCATTTGAAATAAATAAATAAGTTTCTGCGAATGGCTTTTAATCGCAACAAGTTAGGCCAATTTCATTATATACGACATGTATAAAGTGCCCATTAATTTCGTATTTATATTAAATGATTTTTGCATACATGCTTTCTATCTGATCAATACTACTCCTCGACATTTTCATTGATCATCATAAATAAATGAACCTAGATGAAGGCAAAAATAAATTAAATAAAGCTTATGCAGAGTGAAACCACTGTGGAGTGGACAGGGTATAAAAAATGGCTCCAATAGGTGAAAATCTCACACGATAATCGTAGAGGCGTAGATACCGTTGTCTAATCACTTTGTCCTCAATTCCAATCAGCGTCTAGTAACAACAATGTAATTGAATGGGCTTAAGTGAAATGAAACTCAAATGTCCAAAATCAACTCATATAAATAAGCGTAAAGCAAGCATTTCGATAAATTACATTGTTTGTATTTACAACAATCTTAAAATAGAAAACCATATATTAATCACTCTACTTGGAATTCTGTTTTGAGTGCATGGAGTACGCAAATCTATCATTGACAAAACTGCGCGCCAAAACATTTTGGAGTGTGCGGCCGTGCATGCAGAGGACTTCCAAGATAGTCAGCTACTATTTTTCATTCAATTTATGTTACACATCATATTTGGCGTAAGCATAATTTCAATGAATGGTTTGCTCGCCATACGTCTGTTTCATCTATAGCTTTTCCTTTCCAAGCTAGGAGAGCTTGCAACAGAGATTGCCGATTATAAAAATCCGGCTTATTAGTGTAGCAATTCTTTACAGATGAATGCTTCATTAAGGTTTGTAGCGGATTGCTACTTTATTAAAGCCTGACTAACTCAGAAGTCTCTGTGGCAGATCCTCCCACATCTAGCCAGACTCCCAGAACCAGCTAAGCTATAGCCCAGCTATGAAAGGAAACAGACGTGTAGCACGGAGCACGTTTATTCAGTACGGATTCAGACGTGTAGCACGGAGCACGTTTTTTCAGTACGGGTATCAGACGTGTAGCACGGAGCACGTCTATTCAGTGAGCATATTACGAACCAGCTAAGCTATAGCCCAGCTATAAAGGAAACAGACCGAAACTAGCTAAGCTATAGCCCAGCTATAAAGGAAACAGACGATAATTCGGAACACGTATATTCAGTCACGTAATGATCAGAAAAGTGTGCACGGAGCACGTTTATTCAGGACGTATCTTGCGGATCAAGTCACGTTTATTCAGGACGTATATTGCGGATCAAGTGTACCCGCTTATTCAGGACGTATATTGCGGATCAAGTGTGTACACACAGAGTATATTGTGGATAAAGTGCACACGCAGGAACGTATATTGCGGATCAAGTGTACACGCAGGGAGCTACTCTGTATATTACGGATAACGTGTACACGCAGGGAGCTACTCATGATCAGGATGGGGGATTAGGTTAAACAAACAGATGTTAAGGATTGGTCACTGTTTGTACGGTCGCACCTCCCAATCCTGGTGTCCCGAGGTTCTAGTGATTGGCCACTGTTTGTACGGTCGCTGCACACAGAGTTGGCCACACCTCCCAATCCTGGCAAGCAGACATGCAGGCATACGATGTGCACACAGCGATAACGTGTCCCACATGTCTAAGCCAGCTAGATGACATGAGAGATGACCAATTGTTGCACACAGCGATAACGTGTCCTACAGGTTCCATATGTATTTGCCAAGAACATTTAAAAATTGGTTTTAGCAACAAGCTTTTTTTCAGTCTAATTTATGGTAAGCGGAACTTTTGTCGCCAAATTAGCGTTATAAGCTTTTTGAGGCTCAAAATGATGATGATGAATTTTTCCACATATGTTTTGATCCAGTGGAAAGTATAAAAAAGCGTCTTAAAATTATTTCGAGGTGGGCGATTATACGAGTTTATGTTCGTATAGTTTTATAAGCATTCTTATAGGTATACATTTACTATAAAAGTATATGTAATTAAAAAGTGTAATATTGATGATTAACAAATTTCCATTTATTTTGGAGCGTGTCGTTATGGTGCGTATCTTTTATTCAAATAGGCATTACGTCTCGTTATGGGGCTGGATGTGAAAAGAATAATTATTCTTTGTAATGTGGGCTGAAACTGAACACGGTAAATGTAGGAATGAAAACCTGAGTAATATTCTTTTAAACAATTGTGAAATATTGCATTTGAGCAAATTTGGTCTTAAACATGATGACCATGAAAATGAAAAACAACGAGGCCATCTCATACAGGATATAGCATAAAAATTTATCTGACCTGTTTACTTAATAATTCTAAAGCACAGATTTAAGAGGAAAAATAAGTTTAAAATCTACATCTTAAGTATTTCAAAATATTTAGACACTGGATTTTTTAACTTGCCTTACAAACTTATGAGTTGCAGAACCACTCCACATATGAAAGATCTTTGAACAAATCAAAATTGACGAAAACATGAAATTGTTTAAATTTGAGTAATCAGACAGATTACAAATGAAAACTATTATATCTTTCGTATGCAATATCTCAAAAAGTATAAAGTAATCGCAATTGTTCATTTACATTAAAACATATATTAAAATTAAAATCTTGGGATTAAATAGGATTACAGAATCTTTTTATTTTTAAGTTTTCTGACATTGACAAGAAAAGAGACGATTTTGTTTTAATTAATTAATTCCTGGACATAATTCATAGCGCGCCTTTCAGTTGGTTGTAATGAAAGCGTTTTCTCGTATAGGGGCGCGATTTGTTAATTTGGTAAAATTACATTAATTTGTCAATCACAACGGAATTTTTTGCAAAGAGTTAAATTTTACATGATGCGCGACGAAAAGCGAAGACGCACACGAGACGAAGATTGTGAGTTATTTTTCATACTCTGGTTTAATTTGTTAAAATTTCTTTCACAATTATTTTTGGGCTATTGAACTTCAATAAAATTATATTTATTAATTTATTCTCAGTGAATGTTCCTGTGTTTTTTCTGTAATCGCTCTGGATCTTGTTCGTCATGATTTTATTTCAAAATCTTAAACCCCAAATTTTTATCTATGGACAGGTATTTTTCTTTAAATTAGCAGCTATTATGAATGTGTTTCATTACTTAAATAGTTACCTTAGTGCTATGGTGTAGTCTAATATAGATATACATTCTATTCGTTTCTCATTTCTACTTTTAGTTCCACCCTCCAAAAAGAAACGCGATGATTCTCCAAACGCTCATTACTCGACTTCCTCCGGCACATCTTCTACGAAATCTCGCGGACACATGCCTGTCTCCGAGCGTCAGCAGTTCGCTCTTTTGAAGTTGCTGGAAACAAAGAATCCATCTACAGAAAGATGTATGCTTTTTTCACGCTTGCCGTTAATATATTCTAATCTCTCGTCTACCTGTATTGACTATTATTATAGCCTCCAAACAAGCCTGGGATGGTCAAGAACATGAAACTGGCGAACCACGCTCAAACATTATGTTATCATCTCTTCCAAAGCAGCAATCGTCAGGCTTGAATTCGTCTCTTCCTCCTG